GATAGTGTTAAATCTGGTATCCAGAAATGTTGGCCCCTTCTGACTGGAGATACACACCTCAAAAGGATCTTGGGTCAAAGAGTCGAAATGACGGCACGCAGAGGGAAAAACTTAAGAGACCTCTTAGTTCCCACTCATTTTCAACCCCAACGCTCCAATACAAAAACCTGGCTTAATACTCTGATTACAGGCTCATTCCAATGCGGGCGCTGCGTTGCTTGTAAATACTTTAAACGGGATTCTAAAAATGTTTCTGACAGTAAAAATAAACATTCCTTCAATATCACCTCCTTTTTTAATTGCAACACCGCAGGCTTAGTGTATTTACTTACCTGCGAGTGTGATTGTAAATACGTCGGCAAAACTTTCCGTCCCTTCAAAGAAAGGATTAAAGAACATGTCAGGTCACTTAAACTTACTATAGAAACACCCATTGCCCACCATCTTAAAGTACATCACTCAGGTAAATCGCATGGCTTGAGATTTTGTGGGTTAGAACTAGTAAGACGGGATAAAAGAAGAGGTGACTATGACAGGTTCTTAAACCAACGTGAAAGTTTTTGGATCTCCGACTTAAAACCATCCATATGTGTCTAAGACTGTATGCGATATCCAGCTAACAAAGTTGTAATAACACAGTGACATATGAACTAAGTATAATGTCACGTAATATTAAGTACAGTATTTAATATGTGATTGTTACATAAAATGACTTAGAAATTCTAACATTCAGGATATAATTTACAATAGGATGATTATCCAATTTTAATATATATATATATATATATATACATACAATTTTGTCTCTATCTATTTAGTATCCTGCTTTCTATATCACTATATAATGCAACTCTTTGCTTGTTCTATTCCCTCAAACAACTCAAGAGGTACTTTAATTTAATTTATTTTATAGTTGATACTCATATTCTTCTTTGATCAGAAAGATATGTGACTGCATAAACATTTTACACTACTAATAGTTCCCTATCTAGGGGCACTTGAATACATGGTTATTCATTTGGCATTTGAGGAGTTAACCCATCTCCCGATGCCGATACTAAGTGTATGCCACCCACTCCCTAACAGTCCCGCCCACCCGAAGACGTTGTATGTTAATACCGATGGTGTCATGTATCTGGTGGGCCGGCCGTATAGGGTTTAAATAGCGGCGCCAATTCTCTTCTCAGTAAAACTCTTGACAAAGGCGTATACTAGCGCCGAAACGCACATTGGGCTATCTTACCACCGTGTTTTGTATTTAGGATCAGACTTTTTCTCTGCTATTGCATTTAGGGCTTCATATTAGTTTACAGCTCAAAGTTTACTGCTCGCTCGTATTGCAGGAGTCTTAGGTAGCTAGATGAACCTTATTCTAGATACTCTAGGCATAATAATTTAGAGAGATCTTCTTTTGTTACTCTCAATTATAACAGGAACAACCAGTATATTTACATCTCCTTTCAAACTACATCATCAGATTCATTGCACCTGCAATATTTAGACAGCGCTTTATTTTGGATAAGCTAATCTTATTGAGCATTGACTCTCGAGTATGTTTTACAATTGGTGGGACAGTTTCATTAGCATAGAGGCTATTATTCACTATATATTTACCTCTATTGTAGGTCCGGCCAGACTAACTATTTAACCATTTATGCTGGGCAAAACCCACGATCTATGATCTCAGCCTTTGCACTATACCTGTTCCATTTATCTAGAGCACTTGGGATATATGGGATATTTACAATTGGGGTTTATGTACTGTACTCGGCTAGTGTCCCAACTATACCATTAGTTTGGGTGTACTGCCGTCCACTTTTACCCAAATACCCCTATATACCCTGTGTCTATTATTGGTTTGAAACCCCTTTACTCTAGGAAGCAATTCTAGTATACTCCCTGAGGATACTTATACCTTTATTTCTAGAATCTGCATGTGCAGTTAATACTGTACACATTTCTCTACAAGGATATATTTGAGTCGACTATATTAGCGGTTGTATTTAGCTTCCTTAGCGTTTATTATCCACTCTATTTATACTTCCAGGTTACTATCTATACTCTGTTGCAAATAGATTTGTAGCAACAGTATATATCATTTGTTACCAGGATTCAAATGACCACTTAGGTGGCCACTTTTTTGTGTGATTCCTGTAAACCTTGCTAATTAGCAGGTGATCCTATTTTATTGTTATCAACACTGTGTGTGTGTATGTGTATATATATATATATATATATATATATATATATATTTCACTTTTTTCTGTTACTTTTTCCCTAATAGGGACCAATAAAGATTTATTTTAATTACAGTCCTTTCTATGCTCCTTAACTGGCAATTTATTGCCCGACACTAGTGGAGCAGCTTTTCACTAGGGGTTTTGAACTGATTTTGGGAGCGCTGCTTAGTTAACTCATCCCAGTCTCCTCTCTCTCTATTAAGAACAGAAGTCTGCTCTTCCACGTGCGACCACACAGCAAGTAAAACTTTAGAAGAATCAAAGGGCGAGCGTGCGCAAACACATAGACTTTTAAAGGTACAGGAGGTGGAGACCAGGGTGGAACCTCAATTAACAAGACCACCCACTTCCCCTATTTAAGTCGCACACACTCTTCACTCTTCGCGCAGTTATACTGTGCTCCTAATTGTGTAAAGACCTTCAGAGACTCTCCTGTTGTATCCTGATCCTGATCCTGTTCCTGATTTTAACACTTGCCTGTATCATCGGTTCTGAACCTGTGCCGCCTGTCCTGACCTTTGGCTTACCCCTCTATTTTCTTTGTCTGATCTTTTGGTACTGCCAACTTGGTTCATTGCCTTCTGCATCTATCTGCATTTGGGCTCCGTCCACTAAACTGTTCCCAACGGTGCTGGGCTAATAAAGACCCTGTACAAATCCTGCAGTACATCCCAACACACCTGTAAAATAATTCTACAATTAAACTTCAGCCCACAACCTATGTATGCCTTTCTTGTTGATATGTAAAGTGACACAGAGAAATATTTAAATATATAAAACTTTTTTCTTTATTGTAATATGTGTTTTTGTTTTGTTTGTTAATATTTATTTTTAGTAGTGATTTGGAGTTTTACTTTAGCTAGAAAATTATACCATCATTTTTAACGGGACTTAACCACTTACAGTTTTGTGCTTCTTAAATGTTTGTTTTATTCTTTAACTGGTGGGTGGAGATATGGTGATACACAGAGTAGCTCTTAAGCAGAAATTGTACAGGAATTTAGGCAAATATGTATACCTTTTCTTGGTTTATATAACAATTATGGACTTGATTTGATATTTTTGGATAAACATTCCAAATTATAGGTCACAATATATGTGTGGGAATGTTTGTGGATAAATAATTTGAAACGTTTATCCAATAATATTGAATTGAGGCCATGGTTTGCAAAAGCAAACATGTTTTGGGAGTTTTTTTGATTAGTAAACTATATTACAGTTTTGTTTTGGTTTGTTTTTTTAAACAAAAAACCTAATAATGGAAATGGTAATCTGTTGTGTATAGATCATAAAATGGTGGAACCAGGTATAACATATCAGGATTATATACATATATATTTCTCAAAAGGTCACATATTCTTATTAGTTCTGCTAATTATTTCAGGATGTATATAATTTTCTTCTCCAGATGAAGTCAATAAATCAGTCAGGAATGTAACTTTTTTGGACAGTTCTTCTTTCTCCTCTTCAATACATTGAATTCTTTGTTGGATTTCTAACACAAAGAGAAAGAACATTGATTTTAAAACAGGCTAAATTAAAAATAAATATAATTTTTTTTTTCAATCTTAAGGGAATACTATAGGCTCAGGAACACAAACATGTATTTCTCACCCTATAGAGATAAAACCACCATCTAGCCCCCCCTGATTTCCATCTCTACGGGATAAGTACAGACCCCATAAATTCCAGACATAAACATACATTTGTTCCATGCAGGATATAAAATGCTGGAATCAGTAAGCAAAGTTATGGCGAGACATACATTTATTCACTAGGTTGTATAGAATTGAAGTCATGGAGATCGTATGCTGTAGAACACGGTTTCCCAAACTGGCTTTCACCCTCACCTCCCACATACTGTCACCCTCACCCCCCCACATTGTCACCCTCACACAACCCCACATTGTCACCCTCACACAACCCCACATTGTCACCCTCACCCCCCAACATTGTCACCCTCACACACACCCACATTGTCACCCTCACACCCCCACATTTTCACCCTCACCTCCCCCCCACATTGTCACCCTCACACCCCCATTGTCACCCTCACCTACCCCCATGCCAGCTCGCCTCACTCCCCACCCTGTCACCCCTCGCCGCCCCCCCCATACTGGCATCACCACTTATCTCCCCCACACTGTCACCCCTCCCCTCCCCAACATTGTCACCCTCACCCTCCACATTGTCACCCTCACACCCATATTGTCACCCTCCACACCCCATTGTCACCCTCACACAACCCCACATTGTCACCCCTCACCCCAACATTGTCACCCTCACCCCAACATTTGTGTCACCCTCACACACCCATTGTCACCCACACCCCAGCTTGTTGTCACCCTCACCCGCCTCCCACATTGTCACCCTCACTGCCCCCCACTGTCACCCTCATCTCCCCACGCCAATCACCCCTGCACCTCTCCCCACACTGTCCACCCCTCATCTCCCCACACTGTCACCCTCATCTCTCCCACACTGTCCACTCATCTCCCCCCACACTGTCACCCTCACCTAACCTGTGTGTGTCTGTGTACATGAGTGTCTGTATGTATCTGTGTCAGTGTGTGTAACGTGTCATTGTGTGTGTCTGCATGTGTACTGCTTTGTCAGTCTGGGTATTTGTGTGTCGGTGTATTTGCATGCGTGTGTGTCACTGTATGAGTATCTGTCTCAGTGTGTGTGGAAGTGTATACACTACACACAAATGCATACCTGCATTCAAACATGTACATTCACACATACTCCATGCTTACATTCAAACACACATTGTATATATTTTTAAATACACAATATACACACACTGCATCCACTACACATGCACTGCAGTCAAACGCAACAAACAAACCCCTGTATTAAAACACAAAAATGTTATATTAACACCCCTTCATTCAAACACCAACACTACACATTAAAGCACACCTGTATTTAAAATACATCACTACATACAAATACTCTGGCATTCAGACGCAAGCACTACACACAAGTACACCACTACATTCCAATGTCAACAGTACATACAAATACACCCATACATCAACACATGACAAAACAAAAACATGCTTACATTCAAACACTCAAACACTGCTCACAAATACAACCCTGCAACGGTGGGCAAATGGTAGATCCTCAGCTGGCATAGCATTGTTGGAGTTCTCCGACAGATGGGGATCTACCACTGGGATACTCAACGTGAGGTGTCTGGATGAAAGAGAGGGACACAGCGCTTCTGATTCTGCCTGAGTCTGTGGGTAACTAGTTGTATGCCTCTAAAACAGATTGCCATAATATGCCAAGTTTCTGCCACTAAAGCTGCCATGATATACCAAAAGGAAGCCTCTAAAAGTGCCAAATCCCAGAATTATGCCTCTAAAAATGCCATGATATGCCAATTTTCTGCCTCTAAAACTGCCATGATATACCAAAACGATGCCTCTAAATCTGCCATGATATGCTAGGTTTATGCATCTAAAACTGGTTGCCATAACGTGCCAAGTTTATGCATCTAAAACGGATTGCCATGTGTCATGTTTATACATCTCAAGCTGAATGTCATGATGTGCCAGTTGTAGTAATCTAAAGCGTATTGCCATGGTGTGCCAATTGTATGCATCTAAAGCAGATTGCCATGATGTGACAATTTTATGCATCTAAAACCGATTGCCATGATGTGGCTAGTTTATGCTTTTAAAGCCGAATGCCATGGTGTGCCAATTCTATGCATCTAAAGCGGATTGCTATGGTGTGCCAATTTTATGTATCTAAAGCGGATTGTCCTGATGTACCAATTCTATGCATACAAACTGATTGCCATGATGTGCCAATTCTATGCACCTAAAGCTGATTGGCATGATTTGCCAATTCTATGCATCTAAAGCTGATTGTCCAGGTGTACCAATTGTATGCATCTAAAGCGGATTGTCATGGTGTGCCAATTTTATGCATGTAAAGCGGATTGTCATGGTGAGTCAATTGTATGCATCTAAAGCTGATTTCCATGAAGTGGCAAGTTTATGCTTCTAAAGCTGATTGCCATGATGTGCCATTTCTATGCATCAAAAACTGATTGCAATGGTGTGTCTAGTTTATGCTTCTAAAGCTGATTGCCATGGTGTGCCAATTTTATGCCTCTAAAGCGGATTGTCATAGTGTGCCAATTGTAAAGCTGATTTCTATGGTGTGCCAATTTTATGCATCTAAAGCAGATTGCCATGATGTGGCAATTTTATGCATCTAAAAAAGATTGCCATGGTGTGCCAATGTTATGCCTCTCAAGCTGATTGTCATGGTGTGCCAATTGTATGCTTTTAAAGATGAATTCCATGTTGTGGCGATTGTATGCCTCTATAGCTGATTGCCATGATGTGCCAATTTTATGCACCTAAAATTGATTGCCATGGTGTGCTAATTTTCTGCCATTAAAGCTGTCATGATGTGCCAAGTTTATTAATTTATATAATATGCATTAAAAGCAAGTGGGTCTCAAAAAATTACGGTTTTCAAAAGTGGGTCTCTGCCCATAAAAGTTTGGGAAGCCCTGCTGTAGAATATTGCATATTCTATTCACATATTCACATTAGATATAGGTGTCTGGATGTAACAAGTAACAGACGCCAGCAATAAGTCAAATGGCTTTCTTTGTCTGAGAATTCTGGAATGAGGTTCTAAACCAATCACAATGACATGCTTTGTTGCATACATCCTTTATTTAAAGGAACACTATAGGGTCAGGAACATAAACATGTATTCCTGACCCTATAGTGTTAAAAACACCACCTATTAATTTATAGCTGCACCAGTTTTTTCTGCAACCCTGCAAAATCTGCATTTACACTAAGAAAATGTTTCTGCCGACAAAGATCAACAGAAGTCAGTTTGCCTATTAAATATCGTTGAACCTTTTGCTGACTTCCAAATGTAAACTATATCAGTTACACAGTTTCACCACCATCTAGTA